GATGGCGCCCCAGAACGTGACTGGGGCATTCAACCCTAGTGCACCAAACAGCGCCCTTAAAAACGGGCGACTGTTCTTGCAGAAGGCAAGATCGTTTTACTTTTTTTTTCTTTCTAAAAAAGAAAAAAAAAATCTAAACAAAATCTAAAAAGAAAAGAGAATAACGAGGCTTTTTGAACGAACTCCGTGACCTGAAAAGGAACTTGTGGGTTGGTGAGAGATGTTGTTGTGCTCACCTATGTATGTTTCTTTTGGGGTATCTCTGGGGATTTCTTTTTGATAGCTTAGTCGCTTTAGATGCTCGCCGTGTGTTAGAGTCATATAAGTTAGTTTCAATTCCTGCATTTTGTGGGCTAGGTTCATTTTTACTTAGGTCGATTTCTGCATTCTCTGGGATCATTTCTTATACTTGGTCTTGTATAAATTTTGGTACTCCACTTTCTCTACGGAAAGCGCTGCTGAAATTTCTACAAAACCAAGGAGTTAGTCAGATTTTGTCTTTTTCAGGGTCCAGTTTTTCTGACTTTTTGGCTCAGTAAAAATTTGAAAAAACTTCTTTTCTAAAGGAAGTGCTGCTCAAATTTTTGGTAATTCAGGAAGTTAGACAAAATGGGACCTTGAGAAGTTAAAGTCAGTTTTTATTCTGAATTTAACTTTGTATAAATCTTGGGATAGCACTTTCTCTACAGGAAGCGCTGCCCTAGTTTAGAGGAGTTAGATTATATTTTGGCAGGTGGCAATTCAAGCAATCCACTCTGTATAGAGGAGATTCTGCCAAAGGTCTACCTTTTTATGAGACACTGACTTAAGGGTAGACTCAGGATTAGTTAAGTAGAATGATTCTTGGAGAGGTCGTAATTATGAATATTATTCTCGATTTGGACTCATAGATTTAACTTGGGGATTGACCTTGACATGTCTTGTGTTACAGGTTCTCTTGGACGTTTGACTTGAAATCAAGACTAGATTCATCTTGGTCCAACAAGGATTACCTTCTGTTATTACTGATAACAGGTCGGTTGCCGATTCGTCGGTTTTCGAATAAACTCGAATCCACTCTTGTCACTCAACCTAAAGGCTTTAGCCCTGTGGTTTGATTTGTTTCGTTGTGTTTTTACCCGGACTTTATTTGAATGGTCATTTAATAAAGATGCTGAGTGTTTTATTTTGAGAGTTGCACAAAGAGTGAGACTTGTATAGGTAAAGCGAGGGGTGTGAGCGCAAAAAATGGTTGAAGTTGATTCCGTGTAATGCATGGACTTTTGGTTGAATCTTTGATGTGATTGCAGGTATGTTTGGTGGTTCAGACTTTGAATTTGACTGTCTGCGATCACTTAAGTGTATATGGCTGAGAGGAGTCTCTGTGATTGTGAGAAGTGATCGTCACATATGCTACAGCGAACGAGAAACGCCCTCGGCTGRGCCACCTCTGCAATTGCATACGAAAAGTCTTCACATGTGGTTCAGTAGCTCGGCGGAGATACGCCCACCCAAGGGATGGTGACATCTCGCGCAGGTGGAGGTAAGCGGTGCCTCACGTGACCCTGTCCTGTCGTAGGGGCTCGCGAGAGGTACGGTTGGCGCACTCGRCCAAAGCGGCAAACGCTCTCCGCGACAAGTCCTACAAAATCTTGCGTGACGCGGCCGGGAGGGTCCCCGTGTGGGACCAATGCGCTCGACAAGTGGCGCCTTTGCCAGGGATCTCGGCTGCCTACCGGGGTCCTTAAGAGAACGAACCCAAGTTGAGTGCAGGCTGATGATCCAGACAAAACGACAATCTTTATTAATGACATTAAATAAATGAGTGATGTGATGATGATCGTAGTGGGATTGCATTGTTGAATGACAGTGTCATGGTAAACTAACGATAGGAAATGACTTGGGTTAGGAAGAGGTATTTTCCTCTTATGGAAAGACTCCTGTAAGGGAAACTATAAACGTTTTATTTAACTAAGCATTTGAGTTTATCATTTTAGCTCTTTGAGCCTATCTATGAAATTCATTCATTTACGTTAGCATACATTTAAGTAAGCTTATTTAAATGCAGACTCATGTAATTCTATGTGCTCGATGTCATTTATCTGAGGTTTATTAATTTATGACTAGCCACATTAACTATTTTTTCGATTTTATTTATTTAAAATACAATTCTTCTAAGTTTATCTATGTAAGCTAGTCAACTTGAAAATTATCAACTTATGTTTATTTTTATTCTGAATCGATATGCATGGGTTGATCTTTTAAAAAATGGTAAAGAAGTTACACAGAATCCACGTCCGATGCGGATTCGGAGGTGGATGGAGTGACCAGTTTCTTGGGAAAGTGACTTTCACAAGAAAGTGACCAATGTGTGAAGTCTACCCTAAAGAAAGTTGCAACCCTATGTTATTGTTCCCTGAGAGATAACTTTGAAGAAATTATAATCTTGTCTTGTAGGTAGTAGTGAGACCCACGCCGGAACTATGTTCCTGGTCCATAGTGGGGTGTTGTCGTCTGATCCTTTGTGGTGAAATGACTACATTACTACCGAATAGGAGGAAAGTGTTTGAACCTTGTCAGACCATGACCTTTGAGGGAGGCGGCTACTGCCTGCCACAAAGAGATAGGGGGTGAATCCCCAACTATTTTTGTGTCAAGTGGGTTCATCTGCATGCGAAGGGTCAGCGCATCCCGGAGTATGTATGGTGAGGTTGACTACCTTATTGACAAGGGTCTACAAGGTGCAAGTGCTGGAATCGGAGGGAGATGCAGTGAGGCTTGATCCTTGAGCGAGCCTCAAGAATAAGATGTTACCCCTTTGAGAAAGGGTTACACTGTCCCTCGACACAATATATTTTTGTCAAAGCCTCGGGAATTATAATATAATATTTTTTATTATTGTTGCATTTGAAAACCTTCATGGTTGGAAAATTTAACTTGATCATGGTATCATTATTTATTCATGATTATAACTTCTCCATTACGATACATAGCATTTAAATATATATTATTGTTATTATTGCATGATTATGATCATTGAAAGAAATAAAATTTTAAAGAGCGAACGAGAGTTTAGCAATAAGGTCCGGTAAGGAACTGAAAAGACAGACTGTCTCTGGATATGGAATATCATGCTCATCTTTGAGTTGAGGTTGTTCAACCCTTGAGGCTATTTTTATTTTTTCGAGTTGGGATATCCCAACTTGGTACGTAACTAAGGTTTGAGATTACCTCTTTGTTTGACGATCACTATCACTCTCACATGTGTGGTTTTATCCTGATATATGATAATTTGTTTTTGTGATAGGTGTACAAGATGCATCTCGTGTGTTGTGTGAATGTGAAATATGTAAATTGTCTGCTCTTTGGTATACTCGCGCAATCTGCCTATGAACAGACAATAGGCTCGAGTATAAGAAAGAGGAGCAC